ATTAGCCATGCCCAGGCATGAATATTGGCATCTGTGTGGCAATGTGAAGGAGTCAGAAAGGTCTCAAAAGCAGCGAATGATGCCACAAACTAATTCATTTTAACAACAGATGTGAAACAAAGTCATGTAAATCTATAAGTTGGGAAAGGATCTCAAAGCCATTTTGACTCTGGTACTCCAGGGAACCACCGTGCACGCTGCAAATGAGGAAACCTAACAGCGGTAAATCTTACTGCCAAAAAGGTGTTTTACTTAATTTCTAAAATGTATGTTAATACGGGTTCTAGAAATAACAATCTTTCTATTGCCGTTTCTGATCAAGTTAACAATACTGAACACTGCACTGTACATGCTTTGTTACACATTAATTCAACACACACTAAATTCTTGAAATCAGACAGTTCAGTATATGTGTTTGATATAATGATTTGTGGATTTATTTTCTCTCAATCCAGGAAAATACCTCAAGCCACAGACCTTCAAGCTCCACCTCCCTCAGCCAAGACCATCACTTCCTTGTCCCCGTCCTCCATAGCCACCATGTCATCACATTCTAAAGTCCGAACAGGAAGTCATATAAGCTCCTCTCTCAAAAGTGCGTCCTCTTGCTCCTCTTCATCATGTCGTGGTCCAGGGAGACCCCAGACAGCCATGCAGTCAGAGAACTCTGCGGGCAGTGGTGGCAGCAGCAGTGGCGACAACATCAGTGGTGGTCACCTGGTGTCTCCAGGTAAGCCTGTGGCAATGTGTCAGAGCAGTCCAGGGCGACCCAAGAACCCTGTTGGGCGTCCCAGCAAGCAGATGCTGAAGCTGCGCGAGGAGGCTGCTGCTGCCGCTGCCCTCCGCAAACGCAAAGCCCCATCGCAGGAAGGGGAGCACTCGGGCCCTGACAGGAACTGCATCATTCTCCAGGACCGGGGCCGTCCACCCTCTGCCACCTCTTCCTCCTCCTCCTCATGTTCCTTTTCTAAAGCCACCATTCCCTCACCTCTTCCACATGGACAGACCAATGGCACGCTTTCTCCCAGCAGCAAACCTCGCCCACAGCCCTCCCCGTCAGAGTCCCACTCGCCAGCCGCCAAGGCAGTTTGGACCTACAAACGGACACACTCTACTCTGGGCCATTCATCACCCCCAGACCTTTCCTCCACGACCACCAACAACTCCCATAGCCGGGCAGGTATGGGGGACTCAGGACTACACGGGCAGGCCAGTGGGAGGGGCTTTGAGCACCAGGGACTTGTGAAGAAACGCAAGGGGGGAAGCATAGAAGAGCACTCGCCTTCCTCCAAACCCTCAGTACACCGCCTGCCCTCTTCCTCCTCTTCCAGCTCTGCCACCACCTCCTCTCCACGCTCTAATTTCTACCCCTGGAAGGACAGTAAAGGCGGGGGGCTGGCTGGGGGTGTGGAGAAGAAACTCGGCACACAGAAGGTGAGTTTAGTCAGAAAAGCAGGGAAACTGAGCAGCACATGGGCTGGTGAGAAAAATAATTTGAAAGTTTAAGTTACAATTAGCAGCTATTCTCCTTGAGGCTTTGTTTCTAAATGGGATTGTGGGATCAAATGTAATCGAAAATATGCAAAACAAAAGCATTGTATTTGAATATTTAGTGGAAAATCCTTTGCAGTCAATAACTGAAGTCTTTGACCCATAGAAAGGAGCAGACACTTGGGTTATGCTCACTGTTCCTGCACTGTGGCACACGCCAGAAATGACATTTCCTCTGGCGCACTGCATCATTTTGTCTGATGGTGCACTTCCCAGCTTTTTTATTGCTCTGGCCGGCGACAAAGTTATGTTTTCGGGTTGTCCGAAAATGTCCATTTGTACATGCGTTGCATTCTCGTGAATGCGATATCTCGAGAATGCCTTGAGGGAATTTCTTCAAATTTGGGACAAATGTTCTCTTGGCCCCAGACAAAGGCTGATTAGATTTTGGTAGTCGAAGGTCAAAAGGGTAACACTTGACCTTACACTGTTTTGAACGCAATTGTCAGGACTGTCTTAGACTCAAGGATGACTGAATAGTTTTTGGTGGTAAAAGGTCAAGATCACTGTGACCTTATAAAGCAATTTTTGTGAATGTGATATCTCCAGAAGATCTTGAGGTGAGGTGTATTAAAATTAGCTTGAAGGATTGTAGTTAAAATTTGGTACAAATATTCACTTGGACTCAAAGATTAACTGCTTAGAATTTGGAGCCTGACGGTCAATAGTCAAGGTTACAGTGACCTCATGTTCCTGTGAATGTGATATCAGGACTGCCATTAGGGTATTTCTTAATTTAAGCGGGTACTTAAATGTAGTATCCATTAGAGCCCGACTGATTTATTGGTTGTCTTACAAACATTGGCTGGCGTGAGGCATTATTTCAGGAGATCAGTGCATGAAGAATCAACAACATGTGCAACTGTCCATATTTTTAGGGACTTGATAGTAGACGAGTCCCTACCCGGGACTTGTGGATGGTGGTCTGTGAGCCTTTGACAACTTATCATGTCTATAGTGATGCCAGCACTAGTTCTGCTCTTACAGAATCTTAACTATTATCATATCTAACATAGTGATAATGGTCTGTATTTATACAGCGCTTTTCTAGTTTTGATGACCACTCAAAGTGTTTACACTACAGTTTGTCATTCACCCATTCACACACACAGCAGATGGGCAGCATCTCTTTTTCTATGAGGGGCAGTTTGGGGTTCAGCATCTCTCACAAGGACACTTCAGCATGCAAATGTGGAAGACTGGAATCAAACCCTCAGCCACAGCTGACCCATAGACAGTGGCCAAATATTCACACTCCAAATATTTCAGATGAAGGTTTGTCACCCCATCCCCAGGCTATGAGGCTCAGATCTGTCTCTCCCTGGCACCTACCTGTGACCCCTGAGAGACAAGATGGTGGGAAACTATAGTAACCTGTCGTACCGAGAGACACTTTTATGTAAAGGAGCAATTCCCCCCCTAAAACAAAAAGTTAAACATTACAGAAGTGTTTTATCGTCAAACTTTTCTTCTGATGCTGACTCTTCTGACACATTATAATTTATTTTTTATGTGAATGTACAAATTGGTTGATAAAATTGAAGTAATAATTTCAAATATTTATTTTCCCCCACAGCCAAAACTGCACCATTAAGTGTGCCTGCCTTACAAGCCACAATGAGGGAGCCAGCTCTGCGGCCTCTGAGGCAACAGGACTCAAATATATGTGTGTCTGTGTGTCTGTTTATGTGTGCGAGCGTCTGTCTTTTCTCTATTGAGCACATGTTGAAGTATGAGTGTGTCAGGTTGTTTGTATGTGCAGAGTTAGTGGAGTATGGATCTGCTGTGTGTTTGCTGTTTGGATGAATGTCTGAGGAAGAACTCGGGGAGGGAGGGATGAAATTCAGAGTATGGATTTAGAAATACCTCAAGACCATCCGGTTATGCTGCTAAATTAAATATGTTGGTTTATAAAATGGATTAAAATGTCCTTTACACTTGGTTTCTGTGACTATGTTTTTTTAAGAATATTATGTGTTGTATTGTTCCAAGTTTCCATTTTATTTACATTAAGTCAACAACGGCATTTGACAGTTTCTAATGACGGGTGTGCATTTGCTGTTTTCAACACTAAATAGAATCTATCATGCTCACAGTAAAACGTCTTCATTTTAATTCAAATGTCCCTAAAAGTGATGTCCCATAAGCATGGATGGAGCAACTGTTTTTCTTCAAATTTTTATAATAGTTGTTTAATTACTGTGTGAGGTTTAACTTTGAGACTTCAACTTTGTAGCTGAATTATCTGTTAAAATTGTCAAACCTTTAGCAAACACGCATTCAAAAAATATCTGGACAATTTTTAACTGAAATATGGTGACGGTGTCTGTAAAGAGTAAGAAAGGTTGCTGTTTTACTGATTGTTAAAAGGAGCACTTTTTCGACCTGGTAACCAGGATGGACTCTTTGAACCACATTTATCACTGAAATGAATTTATTATTGAATGAATACATGCTAAATATGACATTTATTAATCAGATGAATATTACAGAACTGCAGAGGCCATCTGTGATCTCAAATCCAAAATAAAGAAAAAGTTAATGGGCGATATAGTTGATAAAGTCTATACATTTTTTTAAATTACTTTCCACACTATAGTTAAATTTGTCCTCCCTACTGTTTTTGAAGTCTTGATTTGGACTCTCCTCTTTGGATTAAAACACAAGTATCGATATTAGATAGATAGATAGAGTACTTTATTCATCCCCGGAGGGAAATTACGTCGTCATAGCAGCTTGTGTATCGGAACACAACAAAACACAATGCAATAGAACAAAACAAAACATTGAGGTAAAAGAACAAAAAACAGAAACACAAGATGAATAGTCAGACAAGTAGTGCAGTGGCAATATGATGRTAATAGTAATGATGATATGATGGTAATGTTATTGTTAGACAGTATATAAGAATAGTAGTACAGTATATGTTTATATATATATATATAGTATACAATATAACATAATATATATTTATATAGACAGTAATTATACCAATATAATAGCAGTATATAGTAATAATGGCAGCAATAGTATATATAATAATAATAATAGTAGTAGTAGTAGTGATAATAATAATAATAATATAATAATAACATGTACACATGTATGAATATGTGTATATAGACTTGTAAATCCGAAGAATATACAGAGAATATACAGAGTATGATATAATATGATATGATATATAATATATAGTAGGGTATAAATATAAGTACTTGACTATACAATATACTGGCAGTGTAAGAATACGTGGACTGGATGTGCAAAAGACAATATTATTCTATAAAATGGTCTGTAATATTAAAATTGCACAACTAATGCAGATACAATGCAGTTATAATGAGTGTTGTACTCGTTACATCGTTAGCTGACAGGTAGCTGCTGCAGTACATCCAGATTTCCCTGAAAAGAGGGAAACGGGTGGTGAAGCATCTCACGTGTCTCTTACTCTTCGGCGTTGATGCAGACCCAAAACAGGAAGTAGAATGTTAAGACGGAACTCCCGTTGGTTGTTTCGAACCAGGCGAGAACTAAGGCCCTAAATATAACCCGCGGGTTTGAGTCCGTGGTTTACGTCCGCCTTACCTGCTCCGTCAAGTCAACGACAACAAGACAATGAGTGGAAGTGAATGGATTTCGCTTTAAAGCGGATTCTTCGGCGCACTGGACAAGAGAGGTGATAATATGAGACTGAGGACAGAAGCCACAGCGCTGCTTCCGTCCACCTGATCTTGTATACCGCTGTAAATACACGTGTTTACGTCATTAAAGACGCTGAATGGGAAACATTGCACACCGGAAGCGCTGCGAGCTGTCACCGAGGAACGCGCCTCACTTCACTGGATGTTGTCCGTCTTGTTTTTCCCGCTTCAGAACTGTGAGTATGGAGCTCGTGTGGTGTCTGGATAGCACAGCGGCTTCCCTCCGTTTCCACGCACTTCTTCCACGCGCTGGAGCCGGCAGGTAGCGGGTCAGGTAGCAGGTGGACCGGGGCAGGTAGTGGGTCAGGTAGCAGGTGGACCGGGCCAGGTAGTGGGTCAGGTAGCAGGTGGACCGGGGCAGTAGTGGGTCAGATAGCAGGTGGACCGGGGCAGGTAGTGGGTCAGGTAGCGGGTGGACCGGGGCAGGTAGTGGGTCAGGTAGCGGGTGGACCGGGGCAGGTAGCGGGTGGACCGGGGCAGGTAGTGGGTCAGATAGCAGGTGGACCGGGCAGGAAGCAGGTCGGGTAGCGGGAGCAGTAACTCGGCGGTATGCGGACAGACGTGGAGTACAGCCCGGTGGGAGAGGCGCTGGGGGTGCGGGACTTCTGGCTGTATGCGTGGCTGCGGAGGACGGCTGTGATAGCGGCTCATGTCACCGGTCTGGGCCTGACCCTCATCATCGCCGTGCTGTCCAGACCCGGAACCAGTGAGTGGACTTAACAGACTATAAGCAGTGATGATATAACACGAGCTTCATTTACCATCTACACAGACGTTAACATTACACCTGCCATGACTTTATCAGGGTGAACCTGTATGCACCTAAATGTTTTAATGGGTTATTCAGATAAATACACTTATGAAATGTAGCCCATAACATTTTATAATTCCATGTACAGTTTGGTCAGTTGTTCATGGTAAGATGCTCAGATGTTCTCTTTGTTCCAGGTCTGTTCTCTTGGCATCCAGTGTTGATGTCTTTTGCTGTAAGTCTACAGCCACACATGATCTCACCGTCTCCTGTCTCTCTCTCTCTCACAGACAGACCTCACCTCACCTCACTTAAGTAGACTGATCTGATCTTAAGTTGCTTGCAAGTTGAACACTCGGGATTCACCCTGCTCTGTTGTGATTCCCCTCAGTCTTTTCATTTGTTCTCCTGCTATAACAAATAACTACCCCATCATCGCACACTAAGGGAACCTTCTTGTCTTTGTGTCATGGTCACAGTGTCATCGTATACTTAGTTTTTAAGGTAATTTGCACAAATGTAAAATATATAAGAATATACAGATTCGTAATCTTGAGAGAACCACAATACAGTCGATATTTGGATATTACTTATAGAGGGGGAACTACTCAACATATGAAAACAATCAGTGAGACGGAGTAAGTGGTGTTGGCACAGGATGGTCTCCCGATAACGATGTTTTTATAGCTGCTTGAATTTAATTTATGTGCCAGTTAAAGGTAAACTAATACAAACATCAGTCCACTAATATTTCATCTGTTGAATGTGACCTTTGAACATGCCTTTACATTCAAATCCTCTGGTCTCTGTGTCACCATCCTCTTTCCACAGTGAATAATAGATGTGAGGCGTGCTGACACTAATGACGGTGGTGCACCACTGTCACATATCATGTTACAAACTGACCTAGAACAAGTTCCTGAGAACAGCGTTTTACTCTGGACTGGAGCACAGGCTGACGGTGGGGGGTTTCAGTACCTAACTATGGCGTGACGATTCACTGATAATGTGATGTCATGGGATCGGCATCTGTTTCACACAAATGATTATAATGCAGTCACAATAGAAACCTGAACATGACTCATTGCTCACCCTGTTAGTACACACACCAGATTAGACTGATGTATAATATTTTGTTCTTTTTTAAAATATAAAGGCTAGTATTGCTTGGTCCAATCTTTGTCAGTAAACCTCTGCTCTGTTGTGTTCATTTTATTCAACAGCTCCCCTCTTAAATATGACTTTTTGTTTGGGATTCACATTCAAAGAGACCATTTAAAGACTGGCTCCTCTTTGGCATGAAGTTATGCGGCAGTAAAGAGAGAAACTGTGCAACCAATGACATAGAACTAGTCAATGCAGTTCAGTGCTGAACTGTCCCACTGTGACAAGGGTGACCAAAATAGGACAAATTGGAACCTAAGACATAGACAGGTTTCAGATTGACGTGTTCAGTGACATGCTGAACAGACAGGGGGCAGCAAACAGTCCAAAATGACTAGAGCTTAGGAGAAGCCACATTGAGTGAAACACACATTTTGTAAGTAGCCATGGTCTAATAGTCATAATGCACACATCACATATAAGCTCATTCGTCCATCTCTATCTCGTTCTTTATTTTTTTTACATGGGAACATCTTTTGTGTTGCTTCACACACTTGATAACAAATCCTAATAGTCTTTCTAAATTCCTGTTCTCTCCTTCTGCAGTACTGCCTATGTATGACTGAGGGCATCCTCCTCTTCACAGCGGATGGATCGCCTTTCTGCTTCATATCTCGTAAATGTAAAATCCGTCTCCACTGGTTCTGTCAAGCTCTGCTCCTGATAACATCAGCCACCGGGCTGGGCTTCATGGTGGCCAGTAAGAACGTCTCAGAGCAAAACCACCTGGTTACCTGGCACAGTCTGCTGGGCATCTGCACCCTGACAGCCACTGCTCTCCAAGCAGCTGTTGGTATTTGTGTGATCTTCCCTAAGCTGCTGCACCTCTCCTCCTTTGTGCCCAAACTGAAGCTGTACCATGCCACCTGCGGCCTGGTGGTCTACCTGCTGGCCACAGTCACTGTTGTGCTGGCAATGTTCTCAGACTGGTTCCAGGCCACTGTAAAAGGGGTGACCTGGTGGGCCTTCTTCCTGCTTCCCTTCTTCCCTGCCCTGGTGGTGATGAACCAGATCACTAGTGCCTACCTGCTCCGCAAGAAGATCACCAGCTAGGAAGCACAAACGAAGAGTCTGTTACTTTGTGATGGAAGAAGGAGTCCTCAGTTCAAGATAAAACAGCTAAAGGAAAAGGCTTGAGACACTGGTAGTCCCATGAGCAGTAGAACGAAACAGCTGGGTGTCTGTCTTACATCACAGGTCTCTGAAGATTTATGACAGATTGTCATATATGCATCCCCTGATACCTCCTGGACAGAAACTGAAAGCACTTCAACTCAAAGAATTGAATAACACTATGCAAAGTAAGTGGGTAGCCATGTCATTGTATACACATGATACCCACAACACAAGCTATCCTGACAAACTCCTGGAGGCAACCTGCTGGAGCTGGTGGATGCCTCAGAAAATTCTTGTGTCTGTTGTATTCCAGAGCAATATTTGCACTACAAATGCAGCGAAAGGAAAAGTCTCAGACACTGTGTTGACTGCTTTAAGCTTCAGCAGTGAATGTGATGTGGACGATTCTATACCAGCTTGTAAATCCTATTTATTGATTGATTATTTTGTGTGTCGTCTGTTTTGGCTGCTTGCTGGAGCTAAATGAAACAATTCAACATGAAATCTCCATCAACTGACATTGAACCCAATGATAATGTAATATGTGAAAGCAGTCAGAATATCGATTAGCTTGTTGTTCTGGCTTTGGGACATGTCTACTGTTTGGTTCAGTTTCATGGCTCTCTTTAACTCTCTTTAAAAAAGCCCTACACTTCCTGTTCGGGACCAGTCAGCAGACAGAGTTTGCAACTAGCTGGTGAAAAACTATGAACATGTAGTGGTTGAACACATTTTTCTCAGGAGTTGGTGGAGAGCCAACTACAGCTAAGACTAGAATGTTACTCAGCAGAGCACATTCCTCCACCAAGGCTGAACAATGAACATGCTTTTCTTGTTCTAATAGTGTAAAAGAAAAATAGGTGACTTGATAATCAAACTATTTATTTGTCATTTAAATATGGTCCTTAACACTGTACCTGAAAACTTTTATTCTACCTTCAACTATCTGTATCTGCTCAAGAGAAACAATCACGATCTTATATTGCATAAATGATCTGCTTGATTTTTATTTGGATACACAACAAATTGCATTAGCCGATAACTATCAATAATAATAAATATTCCTGTTTTTAAAAATCAAGATTTGTGTGTTTTTCCCTGAACAAATGGAGAAAAATCCCCAGGTTGCTATGTTAATGAAAGTGAAAAAGAAATTCTGGCTCTGTCCCTTGATCTGCACCAAAATATGATGGGTTCGTCCCAGGCCCAGGCTCCATCTGTCCAACATGCTAGGTGAAAACATAACCTCCCTGGCAGTGGTGGAGATTGAATGTTGAACTTGTTTTTTGTTAGGTGGACCAACACACTACTCCACATGAATGTCTCCTGGATGTCTAAGAATGATTTAGCACCTGTGTACTTGGCAATAAAGTCACTGTCATAGAATCAAAGATTGCAATAAATTAGCAAATATTTCTGAAAACGTTTTACTGTGTGACTCTGGGTTATTGAGTTTAGATGAATGGACCTGAATACCTTCAGACAACACTGAAAACCATCATGTTTCCATGCATCTGTGGTTCATGAGCCACTTTTATATCTTTATTTATCTATTATCTATCTATATCATCATGTACATGTGGCTACAATACTCAATTCTCAAAAGTGATATTTTCAAATGAGAAAAAATTAAAATAAATTCCCATGTTTCTCTAAAAAGTGCATATACACAGCCACCATGTAATGGAGAGAACTCGCCAAATCAAGTTTGATTTTCATCTGCTTGCTACTTTTATATGTCAACATGCACCAAGCCCCTAGTTAGTGTTACACAGTGCACAAACAATAGCTTATTTGCACAAGATATAAAAACACACCTCTATGTGTCCATGTGTGTGCAGGTTTTGGGACTATCATAAAGAAGCTACACAATTCTTTTATATCAACCACTTATAGACATCAATTTATTTATCAATTTATTCAAAAACAGAACGTGACTAGCAGTTTCCACTGTACTAAGATTTTGTAGGGAGGCAAAGGCAGCACGAAACTTGAAGGAGGCAGCTCACAATTCTCTATGTAGGAAAAACCTTGGACAGGCCCATCAGTGACCTGGATTTCTTAAATGTATTATCTGGGGCAGCAGGGCTCCATCTGATTGGCCTAATATATTGACAAGCAGAGCGTGAATGCCTGGCACATGGAAACCCTAACCCTTGCAACGACGGTAAATATATATATATATATATTGTGTAGACCTAGTCAAGACTCTATTAAGGGTTTTGGTTAGTACCAGGTAGGTATGGGGCCACAGAATGAGTACACTTGATGTAGTAATGCAGTGATGATTACCCAAGGGGTGCGAGACGAGAACTTGGGATGTTTGAAAAGCAAACTGTAAGTGTAATATGTCACTTAATGTGAGCAGCTCTCTTTGTTGTGTGTATTGCAAGTTTCAGCAGCATGTTAACATAGCTTTGCAGCTACTGAGAGTGCTCGATGAGCCCGTCTTGCGCCCCTTGGGAGAGAACCAGGACGGCTAAAAAACATGGTGTAAATAACGCTGTTTCAAGTCACATTTGAATATCAGGGCTTACGGACACTTGGATGACCGCACATGAGCAGTATAGAGGTATTTTTCCTGTTTTACTTTTGAACGTCCCCAGAGACTTCAATTCTATTGAATTTGGTAGCAACGCTGTTTACACCTGAAACAGAGAAAAGTGTTTCTTGGACTCAAACACTTTACCCACCCCTCCATCAGCTTAGTGGTGAGTAGATAATGAGTGAATTTTCATTATTGGGTGAACTACACCTTTAAGTGCATAACTGAAGACATTAGGAGTGTAGCAGTTGTCAAAACGTAATGGTTGGGTACATACAGTTGTGTTCAAAATAATAGCAGTCCAACATCACTAACCAGATCAATCACTGTTTTTGGTAGAAATTATATTTCTACTTGGCAAATAATTTACTAGTAGGTGTAGTAGGGTTATAGAAAACCAACAGACCCAACAGTCATGACATGCTTGCTGCTGATTCTGTGCAAATGAATCATTAATTAAAAGCGGCTTGTTCAAAATAATAGCAGTGTGGAGTTCAACTAGTGAGGTCATTCATCCTGTGAAAAAACTGGCGTCAAACAGGTAGCCAATGTTGTACATGCTAGTTATGGAGCATTTCTTTCTGAAAATTTGAGTAAAATGGGTCGTTCCAGACATTGTTCAGAAGAACAGCGTACTTTGATTAAAAAGTACGAAGTGCAGAAAATGATAGGCTGCTCAGCTGAAATGATCTCAAATGCTTTAAATTGGTAAACAAAACCAGAAAGACGTGGAAGAAAATGGAAAACTACCATTCGAATGGATCGAAGAATAGCCAAAATGGCGAAGACTCAGCCAATGATCGGCTCCAGGATGATCAAAGAAGGTCTAAAGTTACCTGTGAGATAAGATGCCTATGTGAAGCCAAGCTATCAGCAAGAAGCCCCCGCAAAGTCACATTGTTGAAAAAAACGACATGTGCTGAAGAGGTTACAATTTTTCAAAGAACACAGTGACTGGCCTAAAGGGAAATGGCGCAACATTTTGTGGACTGATGAGAGCAAGATTGTTCTTTTTGGGTCTAGGGGCCACAGACAGATTGTCAGATGACCCCCAAACACTGAATTCAAGCCACAGTACACTGTGAAGACAGTGAATCATGGTGGCGCAAGCATCATGATATGGAGATGTTTCTCATACTATGGTGTCGGCCTATTTATCGCATACCAAGGATCATGGATCAGTTTGAATAGATCAAAATATTTGAAGAGGTCATGTTGCCTTGTGCCGCAGAGGAGATGCCCTTGAAATGGGTGTTTCAACAAGGGTTAGACCCCAAACACTCCAGTAAGTGAGCAGCATCTTGGCTCTAGACCAACAAGATTAACGTTATGGAGTGGCCAGCCCAATCCACGGACCTTAATCCAATAGAAAACTTGTGGGCTGACATCAAGAATGTTGTTTATGAGGCTAAACCAAGAAATGCAGAGGAATTGTGGAATGTAGTCAATCGTCCTTGGGCTAGAATACCTGTTCACAGGTGCCAGAAGTTGGTCGACTCCATGCAACACAGTTCTCAGAAACAGTGGTTATACAAATAAATATTAGTTCAATTATTCACAGGAAAGCTAAATCTTCAAGCGTTTTTCAGTTTATACAGTAAATGTTTGAGTTTGTAAAGAAAAATACAGACACTGCTATTTTTTTGAACAGCCTAATATTCCTTTTTCTTCAATTTCTGTAAAGTAATAACAAATTTTATACATTTTTCTGCATGTTTTGATTTGGAATAGAATGTGCAGTGTTCCCAATGCATTTGCGTGTATGGAAATAAAAGCTATTATAAGGATTTTGAGCTTTACTCACTTTTTTAAACACACTGCTATTATTTTGAACACAACTGTACCTCAGTACAGAAACAAGGAACAGAAAACATTAACATGACTTTGTCTGTCTTTCTTACCTCAGTAATTTTTACAAAAGTAAAATAACAAAAACAACACTCAAAGTTTAATAAATATCCATTAAGGTGCAGCATGTAGAAAAATCAACTGTACTGAAACTGATTATTGTATGAATATCATTTAATATATGTATTTCATTTTTTTTTTTTATTTAAAAAAATGAACTTGTCCACATGGTTGTTGTTTGCAGAGGGTTTGCTGCCCTGCTGGGATTAACCATGTGTCTAGAACACTCACACTAGGGACAGAGGTTTATAAAGGGTGGTGTGACTGGCTGGCTGAAAGAGAGTGAGCTTCATAACAGGGCTTGATTACTTTCAGCGCGTTTGATATAAAGACACCTATGACACTTGTTATTGCTTTGACTGAATAAGTGAATATAGTCTGAATAACTTGCAAGCAACAGCTTTAATGTCGCAGGGAGCTGGGTTTCCACACAACTTGACTTTTCCTTGTCCCACCAGTTAGTGCCATTTCCAATGTTAGTGGGACATCGCTAACCGATGATGCCGTTTCAAACGAGTCGGCATGTTCGATGTGCTACCAGCTACATATCTGACAGCAGTTGCACAATGTCGGCTTCTCTTTGATCCACTCGTCTTGGTCCGTCGTCATTATAGTTGACTAAAGTGTTCTCTTAAATGAGGGAGGTATTCACACTCCTGTTTGTCTGCAGTCGCTATGACCACTAGCCGCGAGCACATGTACCGTAACACCCCTAGAAAATACCTTTCAAAAGTTGGACATTTCTGTATTGTTAAGCCTTTTTAATTGTTCTCGGGCTTGAAATATTTCTCTTTACTTGTAATGAATCTAGAATTTATAAAAGTTTAGTTCTAAACTGTGAAAAAAAACCCAAAGGTTTCCAAGATATTAAATACAAATTTGATGAGATGCACCTGTAGATTAAAGTGAAACACACATTCCAGCATATTGAATTAAAACCGCTCTACCAGAGATAAGTCACACAACACACAGAGTCTTGTGAGTTTTGGTGTGTTATAGACCAGAGGACACAATAAAACCATTATCGTTTTAATGTCCAGTGTGATCCTCCAGGGATCAAAGTTCATGGTTCAGAGTGAGGAGCTGATGGTTTTTCTTCGCAGATGAAGGTGACGGAGCCGTTCAGCAGGTCGTACATATTGACCTCCACTACGTCTGCTGATGATCCGCCCTGTCTTCCACCTGCCAGAGCCACCAAAACCTGCTGGGCCTGCTCCTCAGAGAGGTTTGACGCCGCCCCTTCGCCATCCATTGGATCCGCTGGCGTCACCTGAGTGCACAGAGGAGTCTTATGTTAAATATCAATCCATTCTTACACTACACTGCTCTGTCGGTTGAAACGTTCAATGTTCTTGCACTTCGGTCAAACTTACAGTGACACAGTTCGAGGTGGAGTCAGCACTAGTCGTTGATTTTAAATTCCAAAGGGCTCCACCAATCAACCATTGCATTTCTATGACATTGTTAGACTCAAGATGAGAACTGATGAACACTGACTCAAGTACCATCACTGAAGGACACGTATGTGACCTAGCTTATGTCACTCACTCACTCTGAGCACACCTCAGGGAAGAGGAGGTTTTAACACATGAGCTTCTCTCAAACAGTAAAATGACACATTTTACTTACATTTTACTCACATGCTTTGTGAGGCCATCCTGACCTTGCCCTTTCAAAACGGGTGTTCAATTTGAAGCAGTTTCCTTCAGGTGTTCCTGAGATATTACATTAACAAGTCAAAATATGTGATTTGTGAGATCCCAGTGATCTTTACCATTACCCCTTGGACCACCAAAATCAAATCAGTTCATCGTTGACTCCAAGTGAATGTTTGTCTAAAATATGAAGACATTAGCATACCCTCAAGCTGATCTCAAGATATAATTTTCCAAGGGGGCCAACCAGGCTACCAAAATAAACAAGGTCATGTCTCATCTTCAAGATTTGAGAGGTGATGT